CTCACTAGCCTCATTTGATTGGAGATATTAAATTATATATATAAAAAATAAGATATAATTGTACAAATAGAAAAACTTCAAAGGTCTAGGCTTCTACAAAGTAGAAAAATTATTTCCATGATACACACATTTGTATTGGCACTTTAAAGTATTAAGAAAAGGGGAGAAGACACACACAAACACATCTTTATACGCATTTCAAATATGTGTGTACAATAGATTCCTATGAATAGCTTGTATATGCTCACGTATGCAGCATATGTAACATGCACGTGTTTGCACGCTAAACAAATTTACATACCCATGTACGTTCATATACGCAACTGCATGTGTTTACATGCAAAACCAATTCACATGCTCACGTACGCGATGTTTATATAATTCATGCACTTTTACATGTCTTTATATTCAATGCATATAGAATGACTTTTCTGACACTTTAAATATTATTATAGAGTATTATATCTCGCCTACTTTCTAAAATTAAGGGTAATTTGAATTCTATGTTTCTAGAACCTCGAGAAAAATGTGCAATCGCCAAAGTAACGAATTCAATATTGTTTCTGAATTTGCATTGGTTTTTCTAATTTTAATCAAATTAATATATGTATTCCAATTAAATTATCAAGTTGTATACTATAGATACATATTTTATGGGGCTTAATAAAATTATCACAAAAATCATTAATGTTTATTCTTTTTCTCTTTTTTACTTTTTATTCTTTCACACCTTGATAGAATAATATATTATTACATTGGCTTATGTCCTACTATTCCTCCTATAGATGTTCCCATAATGGACATGTATGTAAATGCAAAATAGTTCACAATCAACATGATCAAGATTGTCGAGATTGTTGAGAACATTTGAGGAATTTGGATGGTTGATTTGTGAATTAGTTTACAATAACTTCTATATAATTTAGCTATATGGTAGTGAGATAAGTTAGATTTTGAATATAAAATCTTATCTTTTTACGTCTTCCCTTTTCATAAATAAAATTAATTAATAGGAAAAATATCTATAGCGGATGAGCTCTTCATTACATGCTTCTATATTTAAACAAATGAGCAAGAGGGAGGATTTTTAAAAATTTATCCATACTGAAGCAAGAAACTATAATTAAGTATTAAAGTTCGTTTAGTTGATTAAATAGGCATGTCATAATATGAGTATAATAATATAACATCTACCATATCAGATATCCTTTTACCATGTAGAATTAATATAATTACGGTAAATCTTGTAACTATGGTTCATGTTCAGAAGGTTATGAATCACGATTACAATCTAACTCTTCGCAGTATTACCTTTTTACTCTCCATTTATATTATTTTGTACCTAATATATGTGGACCTTCTAAAAATAAATTTAAGATCAAAATCTAATCAATAACATTTTTAGTCTCAGATAGTTATTAAAATTTAGGGGCATGTTATAAACGCATAACTCAATTTTGACCATTACATAAAAGCATTACACTTTAAAACTATACAAAACGATTTTCTTTTTGAAAAAATAAAGTTAAATTTTATTGTAACAAAATAAATGAGTATGATACCTTCTTTTTTAAAAAAATACATTGAGTTCATGTTAAATCTTCAATTTTGCTTTTTATTATATTTTTTAGATACTTATGGAATCAAATGGGCTAACCCATAACTCACTCAAAATTATATATTATAATAAATTATGTATATTGATTTTACATCTTAAAAGCAATTGTATATTAATAATTTTAATAAATTGTATATGAATATTATTTTTATATTTATTGCATATTTTAATAGATTATTTTAATAATTCTATACTAATTATTTTTTACAATTACTTGTAATATTTTTGTGTAATTTACTTTTTATCCATTAAATTTTAGATTTAATTTTTTTTAAAAAATTAAAATCTGATAATTAGAAAGCTAAGCAACAAATGACAAGAAATGTGTACATGCCTGTAAGCTTATATACATATAATATACGTATACACACATATATATACATATATGTACATAGATAGATATTAAGATTGCCTTATACAGAAAAGAGGTTGGCTTTATTTTACAAACCCAGCACCCATCCGCTTCTTACGGAAAAACCCTACAATTAAGAGATAAGAATGAGTCACTTTGAATCTGGATAAAGGGTAATTCATTGACCTCTGGTAGGAGCCGACTACATACACCCACCTATACATACACCCACCAATATATATATACTCATAAAACCTCGGCTGAAAACTTAAACGCCCATTGCCCAATTATTTCTGAACCCCTTCTCCTTGTTTCTGTTCTATCACTCTCCATTAAACAATGGCTAATCCAGAATCAAGAACCTCTGTCAAGGTAACCACCAACGGCATATCTTACGATCGACCTGCGATGGAGAATCCGCCGGCGGGGAGTGTTCTAGTCGGGGAGAGGAACAGGGCAACACCGAGAACGATCAGCCGTTCGATGCTGAGTTCGTCGGAAGAGAATGCAAAGAGGATGAGATTGGACGAAAGGAATTCTTATTCTCAGATTAAGCCGACAAGACCGATGGAAACGGACCCGAGGATTCATTATATGATTTATATGGAACGATTTGTTCTTTGTCCGATTCTCGACTCATCATCTCCGGATTCACCACTGACCCCCGATCAGATTCGGATTTTGACCCGTTTTCTTAATTAGTTTTTTAGGGTTTCGGGTTCTTGAGTTTTTTCTTACAAAAGCTATAGGGTTGTGCTCCTGATGTTTCGTGATGGGTCTTGGAGTGGTTCGTAGAACTGGTATGGTGAATTGGTTTTTGTAAGTGAAATGCATTTTGTAGTCGGGGAAGATTCGTGTTGCAAAAATTTTAGGTTTGTTATTAGGTTTAAAGTTGTCGTTAAGTTAGTGATTGTACTTGGTCGTGGTTAACAGTGATTCGTAAGTCGTTGTAAGGATATTGTCTTCGCAAATTGTTTAGTTGGTTAAGTTTGATTATGTTCTTGATTATTGTATTTTCTTTGGTCATTTTTCTATTGTATATATTTTTAAATTTTATTTGGAGTTAGCTAATAAATTAATGATTGTACTAGATCGTAGTTGAAAGTGATTGTAAATCATTGTAAGAATGTTATCTTCGTGAGTCGTTTAGTTGGCTAAATTTAATTATGCTGTTATTTATTGTATTTCTTTTAGTCTTTTTTTATATTTGATGAATTTTAAAATTTTATTTGAAGTTGCTAATAAGTTAGTGATTGTATTAGGTCGTGGTTGAAATTGATTCGTAAGCTCTTGTAAGGGTGTTGTCTTTGCGAGTTTTTTAGTTGGCTAGGTTTGAATATGTTGTTATTTATCGTATTTTCTTTAGTCTTTTTTTTATTAAATGGA